ATGGGTGTATGAGGGTTCACTGTACAATTCTTTTATTTTGGCAGCACCATGAAGCATGTGGGATCTTAGTTCAATGACCAAGGATGGAACCCGTGCCCCCTGTATTGGGAGTGTCGATTCTTACCCACTGGAAAACCTGCAAGTTCTTTATCCCTACAATTCTTTAACCCATAAAATTTTCCATAATTAAAAAATGTAATTCTTAACTTTGCTTATTTACTATTAATATTTAATTTTACTTACAATAAGTTTTGTACAGTGGAGAGTGCAGGCTCTTGAATCCTAGAATTTGCGTTCCAGCCCTGTTTCTCTATCTGCAAAACAAGGATGATTGTTTTAATTACTATCACATAAAAGTTGTTGACAAACTGGATGAGAAAATTCCCATAAACCAGATAGCACACACAGGGTCCAAAGTCTAGTAAGAGCTTAATATATTACATTACGGAACCACATAAAAACAAGCCAATGTACTTAATTATAGGAATTCTTTCCATTTAGCTCTTGGGGTTAATAAATGCTCTTAAACAGGATGACACCAAATTAAGCCCTGCTTGAAAGTATTCAAGAGGTATAGGTAAACTTACCCCAAAACTTAGCTAACAAACTTCCATTGAACTGACATTTTCAGTGCCAATTTCCCCAAATTTTGTAAAATTTCTACTTAAAGGTCCACCTAGTATTTAAGGATTTTTCTCATCACTGTTTGTGGTCAAACTGTTGCTATCAGTTCAGCTCAGTTGCTCAGTCATGTCCAACTCTTTGCAACCCCATGGACTGCAGCACAACAGGCCTGCCTGTCCTGTTGCTATAAGTGGTGTTATAATTTATTAACAGTGTTTGAGACAGGGTTTCCCTTATACAAATAGAGAAAAGTGCCCTTTTAAAACCTATCTAAGCAATGCAGAAAAACTGAGTTAAAGAAAGGAAAAAATTATCCCAATTTCTCTACTCAGAAAAAAAAAAAAAAGACTTTTCACATTTAAAAACCCAATCTTTTCTTTCATATCGCCAAACATTGTATAGTTTTTATTGTATTTGACAAACCAAGAACCTTAGCTTTAAGGCACCATGTGTGTGGTTTGGTAAGTTGCTTCAGTCATATCCAACTCTTTACAACCCTGTGGATTATAGTTCACCAGGCTCCTCTGTCCATGGGATTCTCCAGGCAAGAATACTAGAGTGGGTTGCCATGCCTCCTCCAGGGATCTTCAACCCAGGGATCAAACCCACATCTCCTGTGTGTCTCCTGCATTGGCAGGTGGTTTCTTTACCACTAGCACCTCCTGGGAAGCCCATAAAGTACCGTACATTTACTCAAATGAAGTAAATATCTTTCTGTTTCAGTTAGTGGTAGTTCAATATGTTTCAAGCTGGATTTAGAAAAGACAGAGGAACCAAAGATCAAATTGTCAACACCCGTTGGATCATAGAAAAAGCAAGAAAATTCCAGGAAAACATCTACTTCTGATTTATTGATTACGCCAAAGCCTTTGACTGTGTGGATCACAACAAACTGTGGAAAGTTCTTCAATAGATGGGAATACCAGACCACCTTATCTGACTACTGAGAAATCTGTATGCGGTCAAGAAGCAACAGTTAGAACTGGGAATGGAACAACAAACTGGTTCCAAATTGGGAAAGGAGTATATATCAAGGCTGTATATTGTTACCCTGCTTATTTAACTTATGTGAAGAGTACATCATGCAAAATGCCAGGCTGGATGAAGTGCAAGCTGGAATCAAGATTGCTAGGAGAAATATCAATAACCTCAGACACACAGATGACACCACCCTTATGGCAGAAAGTAAAGAGGAACTAAAGAGCCTCTTGATGAAAGTTAAAGAGGAGAGTGAAAAAACTGGCTTAAGACTCAACATTTAAAAAACAAAGATCATGGCAACTGATCCCATCACTTCATGGCAAATAGATGGGGAAACAATGGAAACAGTGATAGACTTTATTTTCTTGGGCTCCAAAATCACTGCAGATGGTGACTACAACCATGAAATTAAAAGATGCTTGCTCCTTAGAAGAAAAGCTATGACTAACCTAGACAGCACATTAAAAAGCTGAGACACCACTTTGCCGACAAAGGTCCATCTAATCAAAGGTATCATTTTTCCAGTAGTCATGTATGGATGTGAGAGCTGGCCTATAAAGAAAGCTAAGCACTGAAGAATGGATGCTTTTGAACTGTGATGATGGAGAATAGACTGCAAGGAGATCAAACCAGTCAATCCTAAGGGAAATCAGCCCTGAATATTCATTGGAAGGACTGATGCCAAAGCTGAAACTCCAATACTTTGGCCACCTGATGCAAAGAACTGACTCGTTGGAAAAGACCCTAATGCTGTGAAAGATTGAAGGTAAGAGGAGAACTGGACGACAGAAAATGAGATGGTTGGATGGTATCACCAACTCAGTGGACATGAGTTTGAGCAAGCTCTGGAGAGTTGGTGATGGACAGGGAAGCCTGGCATGCTGCAGCCCATGGGGTCGCAAAAAGTTGGACACAACTGAGCAGCTGAACTGAACTGAACAACACATTTCAGTGCAAAGTTCTTGAAATCAATATAGTACCACTAAGTTAAAACAAGAAAAAGCAGGGCAAGACTCAGTCGTATTCTAATATTGTCCTTATTTCCTAGGTGTTTGTTTTACTTAACATTCCAAAAAATGGAATTAGGCAATGGCATGTAAGTTTCATATGCCAATTCAGAATTAACTTTAAGAGGCAAACCTTAGCTTCTGGAATGCTGCAAAAGAAGATCATTTTAGAAAGTCAGGGGATATTTAGAAAAACTGATGAAATGTACATACAAAAAACTTATATTTTGCAGTCTTTCTTTTTTTTAGAGAGGTCTTCAGCATCCTGCATTCCTGTCAAAAATTCCCCTAAGAGCCATGGACTCTAGTCAAGATCCCTGCTCTGGTAAGTCAATTTTTATATTTTAGAATAAAACACTGCTGTTCTGGGAGACCTTTGGTTCAGTGCTCCTATATGAACCTAAGAATCCTGATATTTACAAGACAGTTATTTTTTTCACTCTTTCTTAGGAAGAAAGAAAAAATGGAATTAACAGACCATGACTACTATTAAGCAACTTACCACAAGGCTCTGAAAGTTCTTCCCCAGAAGACAAATATTTGCAGCTACATGATGTTTGCAAAATGCCATAAGAATTTTCTCTCAGTTCAAAATGTGTGCACTTTTGCCAGTTAAGGTAATTATTAGAGAAAAACTGCCCAGTGAGCATGCTCCCCGTGGGAGAAGAGCGAAGGCTGGGTGTCTTCTCACTGACATTTTCTATTGTAGAGGAGATGTAAAGGTCAGAACACTGCTACCCTTTAGAAGAGAAGCTGGGTCAGTGGGGTCACAGGGCCCAGCTGTGTGCTGCAGGCAAATTCCTTTATGTTCACTTTTGCCCAAGTTAATAAGAGTCCAAGACTGTTTCAAGATTTTATGAAGACTATCTTATTTGTAGATACCCGAAAATCAATGAGCATATTATCTAGGTATGGCTTAACATGGTTTTAGGTAGAAAATAAGGAGGAGAGTTGAAAAACCCTTTGGCTAGTCATTAACTTTTGTTGCCTGCAAAGTCCTGCTCCTTGCTAACTCTAGAAAATCAGAAGTAGTTGTGATTTGTTTTAAGAGAAGTATTTTATCCCTGACTTTGGCAAGGTCCTAATGCAATTACCTTTTAAGATCAGATTACTTTGCAAAAACATGCACATAAGCAACCTCCAACGCTGTTAGCTGCATTTATCTAAATCAAACATTCTGGGTTTCTTGAATTGATTTAATGTGAGTGAAAAGAATAGAGAAGCAAAAATACCGTGACTTGCCAAATACTGTGGAGTTACATCAGACACAAATTAATGTATGGGAATGTACTGAGGGAATTTAACTATAAGCCTTTGGCGGGGAGCAAAAGTGGAGGACAAAGGAGCAGAGGGGTGAAGAGAAAGAGGGAGGAGGAAGAGGAAACAATTTAAATAGTGCTGGTGATCTACTGGCTTCCCTGGAGGCTCAGACGGTAAAGCGTCTGCCTACAATGAGAGAGACCCGGGGTTGATCCCTGGGTCGGGAAGATCCTCTGAAGGAAATGGCAACCCACTCCTGTACTCTTGCCTGGAAAATCCCATGGATGGAGAAGCCTGGTAGGCTACAGTCTATGGGGTCACAAAGAGTTGGACACGACTGAGCGACTTCAGTGATCTAGTGGATGTGTGCCTAAGAGATCAAACAGCAATCAAGAAGCTGGTGATCCTGCATCCACAAATTCACAAATAGTTCATTGAAGAAATTACATTTCCAAACACAATTCACTAAGTGTTGCCCTTAGAACATGCAAAACACTTTACATTAAACCTGGTGTCAGTATTTTCCACCTGGCATTGACTGTATTACTCAATGCCAAGAAAATATGCTTATTTAAGAATCATTAGGAACACTTTTGCCATGAGACGACAGACAATCAACAAATTTAAAATACCCTTCAACACATTTACCACATTTAAAATGCGACTCCTCCTGAAATTACCATTGTACAAGAATACATAAATTTTGAAATGACAAACACTCAAGAAGCAAGCTCCTCTGGTCTGTGAAGAATAGCCCTAGGTCACAAATCAAAGCATACTTGGAGGTCTTAATTGGTCCCTTGGCTTTTCTTGAATTATTATGGGAAAGGAGGGAGACAGGAAGTTGGTTATTACTGCTCTGAAACAAATAGACAATAGTTATTTCTCCAGCAAAAATGGGCTTACTTGAAATCAACAAAGAATTGCAAATGCAGTCTATAGCCAAACTGAGCCACTGTGCAAGCCCCACAGAGCAAGCAGAGAACTCTTTCAAAGAGTAGAAAAGGAAGTTGAAGTACTGTAGTAAACAAAGAGTCTATTGGAGGAAATGAGAGTTGGAAGCATAGTGACTTTTCATTGGCTGAGTTGTGACAGTTTCTCATTGGCTGAGCTCTTGCCAGGTGAGAGAAGGAAGTCTTTCTTCTTTCTGTTGGGCTCCACTATCGCCAGGGGGCATGGGCCCTCCCCATCCTGGCCTCTCACCTGTTTTCACTGAGGTTTGGGTTTATTAATTTTTTGTTACAAAGTCCATTTTCTCTCTACTCTGATTAACCTGTTCTATTTCAGTTAAAACCAAGAGGAAACTGTGGTATATCTAGCATATTGAACAGAGTGGATCATTTTTCTCCTTCTTCTATATGCTAAAAAGTAATAATCACTAATAATTATTATTGTTTTGATTATTTCTATACTTCCCACACACCTGCAGTTACTTCCTCCACTGAAGGCTCGAGTCCCTCAAAGTATTCCATGAGTGTTAGAGTCAACTTCTTTCAAACTCCTGTTAACACTGAAATTTTATCTTCTACCCATAAATCATAAATGTTCTTAATGGCTTCCAGAAGGGTGAATCTTGTCCAGAAAGAAATCTTCTCAATCAACTTTCAGATATACAATATAGTATTATTAACTATAGTCACTATTTTGTACATTATAGCCCCAGGATTTATTTATAACTGGAAGTTTGTACATTTTGACTAAGGTGGTGTTTTCTAAACTTGAGAAATCTAAAGAATTCTGAGACATTTACTAACTGTAAGGATTCCACTTCCCACTACCCTGTTCAGACCAATTGAAATAGAATCATTTTCTGGGAGGGATTTGGAAATCTCTAAATGTAACAAACCCCCCCAAGAGATTTTTATCACGAGACATATTAGGCAACACTGCTTGAAGTCAGTAGCAGCTCACATTTATTGAACACACACTGCCTACAGGGTACATCTAAGTGCTCTGTATGTATTTGCTCATTTACTCCTAACAACAACTCTTGTGCAGTATTGTCTGGTGTCATTGTAAAGAGTAAGTGCCTCTCTTCAGCAATCCATTAAGGGTGAATTTTTTACCATTTGAATCTCAGCACAATCTCATTTCACACATTCATAGTTTCTTAGATTAGATTCTAAGCTTTTGAATGCCTTTGAGATTAAACACCAATTCAGTTCTCTTTATAAAATACACCATAAACTTCTTTGCATAACATAGGAGCTCCATACGTAAGAGATCAAAGGGTCATTCTGCTTTTTGTCTGGTGCTTTTGGCAGTGGAGAAGCCTACCTTGATTTAGGAGATGTGGAGACAGAAGCTGGCAGCAGAATATGCTGCTGAAAGCAGAGACTTTCTGAGTTCCTCTGGCTGGGAGTCAGAGTCCTACAGAAACTGAACCAGGAAAAGGAAAACAGAAAGATCATCTGGTCTAGCTGACTCCGCTAGCTCAGATCCTGGCTGGGGAAGAGAATTTCAGTGCAGAAGAGAAAGGTAATAGATATTTCTAGTTTCCTGTCACACCCCTTCTTCCATAGACTTATCTACATTCTAATCAGCCTTCTGAGACTAATAGTTTCCAGCTTACTAAAAGCCCATACTCATCTTTCCAATTCTTTTTATACTTGCCTGATTTGCACATTTTATGCTTTCAAAGTCTGTGATTATTCAATAACACAAACGCTAATGCTTCTAAACTTTGTGCCATGCACTTCCAACCTGGAGGCAATCAGAACAAATATGTGTGTTGCTTCCTTAACAACTATTATCCTAACTCCTTCAATGTGAGGAAGCTTTCCTTGCTCTGAAATTCAAAATCACCCTCTTGAAACTTAAAAACATACCTTAAGTACCTATTACTATGCAAGTTTTCTTTTCTCTTCATTCTCATTCAGATTTTTCTATTTAATCCTAGCATACTAAGGCAGAAAAGGAATCTATATTTCCATTTTTTCCCTTAGATAAAGCTAAAAAAGGGGACTTCCCTGGTGCTCCAGTGGTTAAGAATCCTGCCAATTCAAGGGACACAGGTTCGATCTCTGGTCTGGAAAGATCCCACATGCTATGGGGAAACTAAGCCCACAGACCACAACTACTGAGCCGGTACTCTAGAGCCCAGGGCTCCACAACAAGAGAAGCCATAACAATGAGAAGGCTGCGCACCGCAGTGAAGAGCAGCCACTGGGTGCCCCTAGAGAAAGCCTGACCCAGCAACAAAGACCCAGCGCAGCCATAAATAAATGAGTAAAAATATTAAAAAAAATTTTTTTAAGCTGAAAGAGAAAGATTCGATGAGGTTAATGATTTGTCTAAAAGCATGCATTTGTTAGGAGGAAGAAGCAGACTTTGAGAACTGTGTCTAATTTTGAAGTCCATGCTCTTTCCACCATAGTGTGATATTCAGTGTTCAAGTTATTTTGTTCATTGTTTCACAGGTGTATGAATTATCTCCTCAAATAGAAGAAAACACGTTCATTTAAACATGGAGTGCAAAGCATGCAGCAGGAATGCCATAAAAAAAGAAGTGATGATTTCTCTCCTCAGTCACGTCAACTTCACTAAATCACCTTCCAAAATCTACAAATCAAGTGCTCGCTTCAGCAGCACATATGCAAAATCTACAAATCAAAAAGACTCAAATTGATTGTTTAGAATTCTTATACCAAAATCAGCAATCATTGGGTGATAGTCCCCAATGATATCACTGAGTGATACAGGACCTCTGCTCAGACAATCGTGCATTCGTTCCAGTGGGTTTCATGCTCTGTGACCTCCTTGCTTGATGCATCTCCACTCAGTAGATAAGTGACTGCAGTGACAAAGGAACTGTGTTCTTACCAACAATTATCTGGGATTATCCAACACAGGGAAAGCTTTACTGCCCATTGAAATCACTTACTTGGAAATTTAAAAACTTAAGTCAGGACATCATTTTTAATATATAATGAGTCTGTATGTTCTCCTATTTTGCATGACAGTGCTCACTCAGTTGCATTCTACTCTTTGCAGCCCCATTTACTGTAGCCCACCAGGGTCCCATGAAATTGCCCATGGAATTTTCCAGGCAAGAATATATACCCAACAGTAAAATTCGATTCAGAATCAAGTACAGAATGGATGAGATAACACTGATGTACAGATCCCTTCAAAACGTCACCTTTCAGCTAAGAAAAAAATGTTGAGGTATTAACTGGGTGGAGTTTAAATTCTCTATTTACTCAACTAGACCTATAAAATCTGAGTCTGCCTGATTCTCTCCATGGCCACCGCCTTTCTCCCTTCTTCTCCTCACCCTGACTAGTGCAATGGCCTCTTCCTCTTGCCTTACTGCAGTTCATTCTCTTAACAGCACAGTGATATTTTTAGACAGTAAGCAAATGGTTTTATTTGTTTACTCACCTATTTAAAATCCTTCAAATTCTTGGAGGGAGCCCTGAGCTAGGAGGTTGTGAGGCGGTCTGAGGGAAGGGGGTGAGAGGAAACCTGAGTGAGGAGGTCGAGAGGGCCTCGGAGGGCGTTGTGAGGAGCTCAGAGGGAGGAGGGTGAGAGAAGCTCCGAGGAGGGAGGGCTTCAGTCGTCCTGAGTGACGAGCGTGTGAGGAGCTTTGCGTGAGGAGGACGAGAGAAGCCCTGAGGTAGGAGAGTGAGAAGAGCCCTGAGCGAGAAGGGTGAGAGGAGCCATGAGTGAGGAGAGCCAGGGAAGCCCTGAGGGACGAAGTTGTTCACAGTCCTGAGTGACCTGTGAGGAGTTTTGAGAGAGGAGGGCAAGAAGAACCTCTGAGGGAGGTGGGAGGAGCCCCGAGTGACGAGGAGGGAGGAGCCCCGAGTGAAGAGAGAGAGAGGAGTGAGATCAATTGAATAAATGAGTGAATGAATAACAGTTTCTTAAATTTTCAAATATAAACCTACTTCACAAAAATCGTAGCGCCAGAACATATTTATTGTGAGGCGTTCATCTAAATGGCAACTAGTTGGTAACTGGTGCGAGGAAATATGCCTATTATTAATATTTATCTCTGATGTGTTCAAGCAGAGGAAGTTCACTCCACCTCCCACCGTACGCCGATGCGTATTTTGTAAAAGTCTCTTACTTTTTCCATTTTTGGCTGACTGACAACTAAACGCAAAATCCTGGAATAATATCCAGATTGTACTGGCTAAATAGTATACTCTGTTACTCACTCTGTCATGTCCGACTTTCTGACCCCATGGACTGTAGCCCGCCAGGTTTCTCTGTACATGGGATTCTCATCAGTTTTTACTTTTTGGCTGAGCCGCTGGGTATGTGGGATTTTAATTCCCTGGCCAGAGATGGAACCTGTGTCCCTGCAGTGCAGGTGGGAAATCCTAATCACTGGGCTGCCAGGGAAGTCCCAAGGGGTCATTGTTTTTGTACTAAGGATCATCAGTTGGGTGAAATTTATCAGTTAAAATCAATCAAGCAGTGGTAGCTGTTCTGGTGTTGACAGATTTGATTGTTAATTAATCATAACATCCTGGTTAGACGTCCTTTAAATTTCACATAAAGTTTTTTTTTTTTAAGGAATCTGCTTTTGGAATTTAAGTAAACAGTCATTGCTTGTTATTTTGTTAAGCTCACTACTTTTCTGATCAACTAACAATACTTAACGAAGTCAATAGCCAGCGGTTTGTCAAATTACAAAACCGATAATTGCCAATAGAGGCATAATCTGTGAGTAATTGACAAACTGCTCAGCTCCTGGATCCTAAATCATAATTACCTTACCTACCACTTACTTAACAAATATGTATTTATTCTGGGTTAGGCAGGTGAAAGAGCTATCTGGATTCTAGAAGGAGATTCCTCAAATCATGCTTGAAGGCTCAAATTGAGCTTTTACCTAATCAGGTCTGTGATATATTTTCAAGATCCAAGATGGGGTATGATCCACAATGTCTGTCCTTCACTTCTACTTCGGAGAGTAGCTTGAATCTCTCTGGATCCCATTCAGCCTGAAACTTCGCTTTAATCTATATTATGTCAACTAGTTTCTCTCTCAAAGGCAAATGAAAAAAACGTAGAGTCGCGTTTCCCAGAGATCTTTCATCTAGACTGAAAGTAAATCCAGATGCTTAAATATTTTAACATATTTAGACAGGATCATTTAGTTTCTTACTTTCAGAATATAATCTTTTAAATTTAGATCTGAACGACAAATGTGAAGAATAAGCAAACATGCAGGACAATAAGACAAATTTACATTAACGAGTTTTATTACATCAGCTGAGAGTCACAAGAGCTTCACATGCTCTAATAAACCCAGGGAATGCATAAGAGCCAACAACGCCAAGAACAAATTAAAAGTTCAGATGTCAGACTTGGTTCATTGACATCTTTGGAAATGGATTATTTTTAAGTGGAAAATCTGCTTTGAAAATAAATCTTACCATTATTTAAAGGGAACTTTATTTTTTAAAGTTAAAATAATCACTAGCATAAGAAAAAGTCTTGGTTTAAAAAAATCTAAAGTCTAATAGTAACTTCAAAAAAAATCAAGTGAGTAAATAAAAGATGAAATATATGCTATAAGTCACAAAAAACTTGGACACAAATAGTAGTTCTTAAAAACTGAGGCATAGACTGCTCAAATATAGCACTTCTCATATAGGGGTAAATCTCTCTAATATATTTTTCTTTACTTCACAGGATCACAACACAACTTGAGCATAAAGGAGAAAAGATGTCAGTTAATTTTGATAATGCTATCATTTCTCTTCCTCCAAAATCCATTTCTGTGTTGTGTTTAAATGTTAACAAAGTGAAACTTAGAGAAAACTTAATCAGATATACAAAGTGAATTAAGAGAATGGTTTCTTACTGAATTTAATTCAAAGTGAATTTGAAAAAACAGGAATAAACTATTGGTGTCTAATGGAACTGTATGCCAACTCACACTTTATTCAAGTCAACATCTTTAATCTAATTCTCTGTTTTAAATGAACATTAATTTACTTTTCAAACTACGCTTACAGGTTAAAATGTCTTTGACACAAATTGCTATAAAGAATTTTTACTTAGAATTATTTCAAATCCAAAGAAAATAGCCCCCATGGTAAAAATGAGATTTAGTTAGTGTTACTATACATTTTTTTTTTTTTTACTAATACTTATCAATCTGGTTTAACTTCTTTCATGCTTATATAGAAAAAAATAATAATAGAAGAGTGTTTCATTTGATCAAAATCCATATTTATCCAGCTGTACATTTCCTGAATTTCTAGCTTCTGGGTAGCCCAGAGGTACCCAGAGGCTCAGTTCAGAAGTTTCTAGTTACTTACTCATTAGCAGCACTTACTCATTATCAATCCAGAGAAACAGTTTGAGATCTGGGTCACTCTTGAGTGTTAAAGTCCATCTTGCATTAATTAGAATTGGTTTAACTGCAAACCAAAGAAATGTATCCCTGAGATCTAGAGCATCCCAGAGCACTGAAATGAGTGTGAACTTTATAAGCATCTTAATGCTTTATCTTCATTTTATTCTAATCTCAAGCTGGAAAATTCATGTTCCTTAGAAAAGATTATGTACCACTAGTCAGTAGCAAACTGGTAAATGTTTAACAATATCTCTGTAGAAAAGATAACCTAACCTTAGCCCTAACCATAACCCTAAAAAGGGACTTGCCTTGTGGCTCAGCTGGTAAAGAAGTCTGCCTGCAATGTGGGAGACCTGGGTTTGATCCCTGGGGTGGGAAGATCCCCTGGAGAAGGGAAAGGCTACCCACTCCAGTATTCTGGCCTGGAGAATTCCATGAACTATACAGTCCAAAGAGTCAGACATGACTGAGCGACTTTCACTTACTGCTGTAGAAAAGGAGGAGGAAGAGAAGGAGATGTTTCTGACTGGCAGCACTGCCAAATACCATGGTGTAAATACTTCCACTGTGGCTAATATCCAGCCGCCAGTGGAATATCAGGGAATGCAGAATTGGGAATAGAGGCTCAGTAGGACACCATTATGTAGTATTTTCACTATACAGATCCAAAGACAACAGTGAACTTAGTAACATATATAATAGTGAAATGGAGTTAAATAGAAAGTGATGGCTTGAGTTATTTATTACTTTTGTCTTTTATACAGTAGATTCAAGTTTATATAATGAAATTTTTAATCATTAATCATGGCTGAGTTTCACAATCACTTTACCAAGTTCCTGAAAATTGAACAAGCATCTCTCATGAGCCAATAAGAGCAGATTGCAGCACATCCCAATTATCTTGGTCATCTCTCTCCTTGGGTCTGTTTTTGTTCTTTTCCCTGAAATCATAGACCTAATACTCACTTTATGTATTTTTGTTTATCAAGACTACTAAGGAATTTAATCATGTGAATGCTACATACCATGGAGATTCTTAAATATTATTTTTCCATCTATTTTTGTAAACAGTTTGTATTATTGATTAGATGCTATTTAGGAACCTTTGTGGGTTTCATCTGTTGTTTGCTTGTTTTTCATTTCCATCAGTTTATATTTTCTTGAGACTTACTAATTTTTCATTCTGCTGAAGTGTGATTTGAGAATGTGGCCCATATCATTTCTATTTTGTTCAGATTTTATTGTGAAATATTGTAGGTAATGAGAATAATAAAAGATAATAAAAGTTACTATTTATGGAGTATATCCCAGAAACATTACATTATCTTCTCAAGAATCTGATAGAAAAGTGTTTTAACTCTGAATACCTATGAAACAAAGCTGAACAAAATCCTCTTTGCAATGCTTTGTTGGTGAGTACAGTCCCAGGCAGCAAGGGCAGGGAATGAGGAATAAGGAAGGAGGGAAGGCTATCAAGACAGGGGCACCGTCACCCAGGACATCTCCAGGTAACTATGTGGAACCAGTGCACCTCCGAATGGTTCACTGGGAAGGAAGAAGAGAGAGTTTGCCTTCGGATCTTGTCCTCTACCTTCTGATCACCAAAGTTCACCTTAGCAGGCAGTAACACCCTGTGGTAGATTGTTTGCAAAAATGGTCACAGTCACTCCTCCCATTCCTGACTTCATGGTACTTTGAAATGTGAATGTACAGCAACTCCTAGCAGGAAGAGGAATCTATTTCTCCAGCCAAGACCAAACCCTTGAATCTGGGTTTGGTCATGAGACTTTCTTTGGCCAAGGGGACATTAGCAAGTGTGACATTGAACAGAGGTTGAGAAATGTTTGCGCATCTAGATTTGCCTTCTCTTGCTTCTGGGAACTTCTACCACCACGAAAATGACCCTGGGCTAA